ATATGTTCATTCATCTACAACGGCCATATCTAAGTCGGTTTTAAAACCGATGTAGATATGGCAAAATAACCGACTTAGAATACAATCCTTCTAGTAGTGAGGTCAAAGCATACATGTATAAAGTGACCACAGTATAAGGGGCAAGGTTGAGCTATATATTGATTATAAGTGATCAATCGAGTAAAGTAGGAAATTGAGAACTTAGTCCCTAACCAAGTATTAGAGGGTTATAGTATTTGGAGGCTAGTCGGTGGGCTAATCCCATAGGAGGTTTAGTGTTGTAAGCTAATATTGTGGTAGACCCATACTCACTGTTCTACTTTGACATAGTATCATACTCCTAATTTAAGTGGTGAAATCAAAGAAATTAGTTTAGCTTATGCTAGTCGTTGTTTTTAGCCTTGTCCTACCTATGGTTTTTTAGACTTGGTGCTAGACAATGTTTTTGACCATAGTGTCAGCTGATATTTTTGGTTTTATACCAGCCATTGTAATTTGGTAGGGTCAAGACACTTAAACTGCATCACCTTAGTTGTAGGAAATCTCTGTAATTGATATGTGTGATGATACATTAGTTGTATTTATATGTATGTAGATTATGTCATTTTGTTGAAGGTGTTTGGATGATAATTGAATGAGTATGTGTTTTTCCATGTTGTTTGTGATGTATTGATGACATAAATGTACATGTTTTCCGATAATATGTATATTGCATATTGAAAGCGATTAAGTTGAAGATGTAAAAATGTATAAGTTGCTAAGGTATGAGTGTGATGTTGTGTAATGATTATGTGTTATATTGTATCTATAACAATGTTGCCTAGTTGTACACATTGTTTGAGTGCCTTAAGTTGTTTGACCTGATATGATGTTCCTTTTAAGTTGTTTATGTTGCGCGTTATTGATGACACTACTTTTGTATCACAAGCTTACCCTATGTTTTCCTTTGTGGTTTGGGACTATTACGATCATACTTGGTATGAGAGTAGTACAAGATTAGGGAGCTGAGTTGTGTTGTCCAGTGATGAGTCACATTAGAGGTGACCTTTTTTTGGAGGTTATTATCTCTAGGTAATTAGGTCTTGTATAGATGTTTGACCGACAATTGTGTTTATTTTGTATACAGTAGTTACTTTTTTTTGTATGAAATATGCATATATGTTCAGGAACATCTATTTTATTTCTTATATATATCACTGCTTGCATGAGATTTACCTACTTTTTGCATGATCTCTTAAGCAGATGTTTGATGCTTGTAGTTTCACTTAATTGTTATTGGACTGTAGTAAGTGTAATGATTAGATGGGTCATTAGAATTTATTTTAAATGGTAATATATGAGATAAAAATATGTCACTTTCTTCAATTTGCATGAACCTTCGCTTCTCTTCCCAACCTATCTCTCAGTCGATCTTGTGCATTACTTCAAATTATCTTGTCACCTTGTGCATTACCCTAACTCAGCATCTTAAACATCGTGAAGTCATTTAACTTCACCAATTTCATGTCATACTTTGTAGTCGTCGATTTCCTTGTTAATGTTAACAACCTCCTATTCCTTTAGCTAAAAGTCAATCCCTCAAAAAGAATTTTCTAAATTTTTAGAACCTTTCTTTCAAGTTTATCTCGTTATGTAACTTTATGAAAACTAGATTCACTCAAAATTTCCTATTTATACTTCAACCTCTTATAAAACTAAGGATGACAATGAGACGTGGTAGGGTGGTACATGTTTGAGTATCCCCATCCTCGTCCCCGTTCTTGTATCCTATACTTGTCTTTGTCTCCATACTCAATGAGTATGAAATTTTTATCCTCATCCCCATCTCCATCAGGAATTGGATATATTTGTACCCATCTCATGCCAACTCAAAAATCAATTAAATACTTTTTATTAAAAAAATAAAAATAAATAATTTTTAACATAAAGTAACAATATTACATTAATTAAGTTTCATCTTAAATAAATTTAAAATAAAATAAGAATAATGTAAATGTCAAGTAAATTCTAAAAGAAAAAATTAAGTTTCTAAAAATTTTAAGCAGGTATGGGTACAAGACAGATATGTTACTATAAATTAGATATCCTCATATCCATATCCAATCAAATCAGGTATCCTCAATCAAAGTTAGAACAGGTTCAGATATTACTCATGAATACAAGTTTGTTTATCATCCATATACAAATCTAATTAATTTTAGTCATGCTTAAGTCATAACCATATAACTTAAGTATACGGTTCTCCCATAACTTTACCAATTTCTGACAACACACAACATATATATATATATTGTGTATATATA